GAGATCGTTTCACGTTTCTCTCGCTCACAGAACGATCCGAGCGAGAAACACGACAGAAAGGACGATCTATACGTGTAACAGGGAGGAAGAGAGAGAGAGAGAGAGGGAAGGTAGACTCGCAGGCGCGGATTTAGGCGTGGGACGGAGGAGTGGTGTAAGGATGAGGGCCCTTTCGCTCTCGACGTAAAGCAGGGTGCTTTGAATCAAGCATTTGCTTGTGACGGGAAATTTCTGGCCTCTGAATGAATACAACGACAACGATGGTTTTCATGGGGACAACCACGTTTCTCGGTCTTATAATTTTGAACCAATAGTGTATCCAAGCGAATATTTTAGACTTTGCTACAGAACTAACAGAGAAATAGTTGCACGTGCGCGTCACTTTTATTTTTATAAATTAAGTTGATTAGAAAAAAGTAGCGATATTCTTTGTATATTTAATTTATATTTAATTATTAGATAATATATATTTTTATAGCTAGTTTAACAATGATAGATTACTGATTAATATTGACATTTTTATCAATAACATCATTAATTACATTGACGATAAAAAATAGTGATATTTTTTTATTTTTTTAAAATAATCATCTTTATTTCGAGTTATAAATTCCCGAGGGGATTATCGGCGATTCGCCCCCGAGATATATTTGTGTATCGAGCCTCGTTGTGATTAATTTTATCAAATGAATAATATGAATACGCCTGTAATCCGCGACAAGGCAACGTCGCGCTCTTGCGAGGCTGCCGAGGCTGAAGAAAGACGCTCGTACTCGATGAGCATGATTGTCTGAAACATACACTCTCGCATACGCATACATATCATTCTAAACATCCGTGACACGTAACGAGGTCTTCGAGCAGCGACTCGTATTCATCGACAGGCACACAACGATTCGAGTGCGTAAACCAGTATTGTCAGACTTAAGAATTTTCCGTTATACATAGGGAAGGCTGGAATTTAAGGGGTTTAACTTTAAACACAATTGGTACGGGGAAAAAGAAAAGAAAGAAGAAATTTATCTTTCAGTCTTTTCTTAAAAATGTTGAAGGTCAACTCTTAAGAAACACAAAAATATAGAGAATTCAGAGAACTCACATTTTACACTAAAATGTGTAAAATATTTTTTTCAATTTTCTTTTTCTCTTTCCTTTAAAATATATATTTATTTAAATGATATATTTATTTATTTATTTAAATTAATATATTTATTTATTGAATTAAATATTTAAATATTTAAATTATACATAAAATAAAATTTGTAGTAGAGTTATGTGGCAAGATTTTTATTTATCCTAATAATTAAAAATAAGTAAATTTTTATATGTAAGGATAACAAATTTAAAATATTTTCTTTCAAGTTTAAAGAAATTCTTGCCATCGAAATTCAAACAAAACCTCAAATTATTTGATACGATCCATTTAAAATCATTAAAAAAAAAGAAATATCTTTTTCAATTTGATTTAAGTTTTGTGAACATTTCTTACGAGCGCAATTAAGCGTTATATCCTCGCTTATAATAGACACGCGCGCACACGCGAGGAACATGCGCAGCCTAAACGTAAAATCCCGTTTCGACGTTCTCGATCTACGTCTGCTGGACCGGGGCTGAGAGAAGATGGGAATGTATTAACGGAACGTACGCGCGACCGCGTACATGCGGTACATTTTTCTTACTATACGTCAGACTGTATAAATCTGGAATGTCTCTCAGTCTCGCTCGGTTTTGACCGCTTCTGCCAAAGCGAGAAGAATCTCGCGTATCTATCTCGAGACGCACGAATATTATGTACAATTGAATAGTATTATCTAATCATTTTCAAAATTTCGACACATCCTATTAATTTTACATATTGCAAAAAGACATTATTATACAGGGTGTCTCAAAACTCATAATGAATCTTTCAAAGACAGATTCCTGGGATCATCCGAAGACGATTTTTCCTCAACGAAAATGTCATAGGCACTAATAATTTTCGAATTATAAGTTATTGGAAATAAGGGGTTTTTCATAAACTAAGCTTTGTACAAATAAAATATGAGCAAAACCACATTCTTCGATTAATTTTAAATAGAGTTTCCTTTAGTTGAGTTTTAATTTAAGGCTTAATTGCAAAGATATATGATGACAAAAATCGGAAACGTGGAAAAAATATGGCCTTCATCGACATTTTCGATGAGGAAAAATCATCTCCAAATGATCCCAGGAATCTGTCTTTGAAAGATTCATTATGAGTTTCGAGATACCCTGTATAATCGTAGAGAATATTTTATCTCGTATCTTCGAGACTATCTCCGAAATATTTCCACTGTAATGGTGTAAATAAATATGTAAGAAAAAGATTTGTTGTCGGGAGATCAAGGTTACTGGAATATAAGAGAATCGTTTGTTTATATGCCAGCACAATATTATTATCATTTAAAAACGTATAGATATTGAAATCGTGAAAGAAACGATTATTAAAATTTCGATATATCCATCTTTAATATATTTGTGAAACTAAAGAATTGTTTTTCTCTCTTTCTCTTCTTGACAATCGAGATATTTCGTATGTCCTACAAGTTAGAAATATTTCACATGTACATTTTCTCATTGTCGGAGTTATAATAGAAAGGAGGCAAGATTGCGAGGTCAACAAAAAATTGTTTATGTGTCAACCGCGACGCGGTCTCATTATCGCGAAAGAAACGATTGTTAAAAAAAATCGCCGATACCCATCTTTCATACACACTCACCTTGAACCAAATAATTTCTCGCTTACATTTCCCCGTATATTACCTCATGTATACATCATTTTCTCGGTTACAAACGGTGGAAAGGAGAGACGAGACCGCGAGGTCGCGAAAAAAATCGTACTCTCGCGAGATTAAGAGTCGTGACGCGGATTCGGTAGCGGAACGTGAATTACACCGCGAATACCACGCGTCTCCCTCCTTTCCCTGCCCCGCCGTCCCGCGACGTTGACGCGAGGAGCTGTCCTACTCGAGACGACAAACTCGCGTCTCGACGCGCCGTGTACGGGCGACGTGTCATCCGAGACATATCGACACAGGCACGCATATCTATCTACCTACCTACCTGCCTGGCTGCCTGCTTGCCTGCCGGTGCATAAGGTCCTGGGCGGCACACGGAGAAACGCTACATGCAGCCGGGATTCGGGTAGGGATCCGTGTGTATGTTCCGGTAGCGACACACAGCCGTGGCCGGCAGTCGACGCAACGGAAAGACGGAGGACGACGCCGTTGGCGAGAAGGAGCGGGCGGACGGACGGAGAGAGACGGAGAGACGGGGGATGGCAGACGGAGACGGCGACAGACGCCGCCGGTTTCTCGGCTCGGGCAACCAGCGCGAGGACGAGAGAGGAGGACAACAGCGCGGCGAGATGAGAGAGGATGGTAGGGCGGCGGCGGCGGCCAGGGGGGCCAAGGGGATCCTTCCCCTCTATCCGTTGTGTGGCTCCACCCACACGCCACCGAGGCGCGCAATCTGGCAACAGTGGCCCGCTATAACCGATATTGTGGCCGTGGATTGAATGGAGGGGAACTAGAGCTCTCTCAGGTCAAACCGCCCCACCGGCATCCCTCGGTCGCACGGAGGAGAGCGACCCCTCGCTATCCAACCCTTGCGCTCCGAGTCCTGCTCCATCTCGTTCCCGCCGGCGCTCGTCTACTGCGCGTTGCGTTCTATCGCACCTTCCCCTTCCCCGGCCACTCGCAGCGCTACCCCCACTCTCCGCCCGCTCGTTCCGCCTCCCTCCCGCCAGATGACGTCCGAGCGCGCTGGCATTGTCGCCGCGCGCGCGCGGGGGTGCGTACGTGCGACGTTTCTCTCCCGTTGCGCGCCTGTGTGGGTTCACCACTACCAGCGCGATACGCGCTTCTATCGCTATCTTCGACAACGAGTTTCACCCACCCAACGGCAGAGAGAAATCGGTGTATACGTGCCGCGTGTGTATGTGTATACGAGACGCGCTCGTGACGACGAATCGACGCTGGACAAGGACGCACGCCGGGCGCGACGAGGATGCGACGAGGGCGCGAGTGGTGGGAACGAGAAGGATAAAGCGAGAAGGAGAGAGAGCCGAGAACGTGGCAGAAGGGAGCGAGCGAGAGAAGGACGCCGTAGGCCCCAACAGCCTCTCACTAGACAGTATTACTTTCAACCGTTTAGTGGGGCCAATGCTACCACCCGACACGCGGAGCAGTCAGTCGTTCCGAGCGATCGGAATCAACGAGAATATATCGACGGAAGAACGCTCTTCCCTTAGCTTCTTCCTTCCTTCCCTGAGAGAGAATTTTCTCATTCATTCTTTCCCGCATCTCCTATCGATTTAAGGAGGAACATTTGCCTGATCGACGCGACAGAGGACGCGCTCAGACGCATTCGGACCAGATGCACTGACGATCCTTCTCGTCCTTTGACAATTGTCGCCCCGACTCTCGCGGCAGCCGCACCGACGCCGCGCTCGTGACAGACTGAGGCGCGCGACTGCCGTGCGCGCGCGCGCGCGCGCTGCCGGTGGATATAAATAAAGTTTCCGCGGTCTCTCGCACGCGCGAGAGAAGGAAAGAGGAGGCGAAACGAGCGCGCGCGACGACGGCCGAGAAGGCGGAGGGAGGAAGGGGAGGAGAGACAGCCGCGGCGGCAGGAGGAGGAGGAGAAGACGGAAGAGGGAGATCGAAGAGCGCCGGCAACTGGCACGGCTGTTGTTTGAATACTTCTTCCGGCGAGAGCGCGATCGATCGATCGAGCGAGCCGATCCATCGACGCGGAGACGCGTGTTTTATTTGAACAAGTGAGAGAACGCAAGCGTACAACACGCACACATAACGCCGGAGGAATCCCGCGCCGGAAAAGCGACGCGCGATCGCGCCCCAAGTCGCAAGGACTCGCCGGTGTCGGCCGCGAGCGGAGAAGTCTTCCTCTCGCCCGCGCCCCCTCCCCGCCCCGCCCCCCTCCCCCGCCGCCCCGGCGAAACGGAGAAGAGAGTAGCAGCGGAGTGGGAGGGAGAAGCGGCGCATCGCATTCAAGTCGCACGCGCGTGGAACACTCGGACCGGTTATCGCCTTCAGTTGGCTCGTGGCTCGTGCGGAGCTCGGTCGAGAGGCGTCGTATCGTCCGTTGCTCGCTCGGTCCCGTCCTGTTTTCTGTGCTCCGTCTGTCGTTATCGTCGTCGTGTTTTCTTTTTTTTTTTCCCCTCCGTCGTGATGTGCCTATGACGAGGTGATGAACGGCCGGCGTCGCAGTGTCGAGCGGCGTAGTGACAGTGTTCGTCGTCCTGCCGATGGACGATGACGATTAACGAAGCGGACAGCAGCATCGTGGCGATCGTCTGTGGACGCGCGAGGGAAAACAGTGTGCTCCACATGTGATCTCTAGTGTACTTACTTGTATTTTCGCACATATATATATATATTATATTGCATATGTATATGTTATCGTATGTACATAAATTTGTACACGCGACGCGCACGGCGTGCATTCTTGGATTACTTCCTTCGCGGAGGATCCCGGTTTCATGGTCGTCCCCGATCTCGCATCCCAGGATAATGCGATGTTGTAGGCGTCACGCACGTGAGTCTTTCCGTCCTGCTTCGTTTCACCTTAGGATGCTAATAGGGATATTGCTATTGGGAATGTCTCGAAACGCGTGCTTCTCCCACGACATAACCTTCCTGATGATTGCGGACGAGATTTTCATCCGAGGCTAATAACGTTAACGTTGCATTTCGAATTTGTTGAAAATTTTATCCAATCTCTTATTCATATTAGCGTCCTAAGATTAGTTTTTCAGACTGATTTATTTATTGTACAGTGCGAACTTTTGCATTTTTTACGGTTGTAATCTTTACATAAAGTTTGATTTACGACGAGTAAATTTTATGGAAAATTGCTTCGTCGTTTAAAGAAATAATTACAAGGAAAAAGACTGCGGAAAAATGATAACGCAACTCTCGATCGATTCTTGCTATAATATATTATCAGACGTGAATCGTGAATCGAAAATATTGAACGATCACTTCTAATACGACTATCTCTCTCTCTCCTTCTATTTTGTCATCAATTTTCGCTCAGAAACGCACGCGAAAAGAAATCGTACCTTACGCGTAAGTAGAATATCGTTCCCGCTTTCCTTCCGTGTTTTTTCGAGATCATTTGCCTCTCGAGTCCAACATCTCGTACACTGTAAATACGGAAATACTTTAAATATCACGTTTCTCGATTCTCGCAGCCTCGTGAAACGAGACTCTGTAGTTAATCTAATAGTACTAGTAACAGTAGTAGTAGTAGTGGTAGTGGTAGCGGTAGCGGTAGCAGTTGCGATAGCGATAGACCGAAGTATATAAGAGTACTTACTGATATTTACCCTGGTCTCCTTTTACGCGCCTTGACTCGTATCGACGCGAAATCCCGCGCGACTCTCGCACATCGATCGGCGGGAAAACGCCCGCGATCTCTCTCTCTCCCTCTTTCTCTATCTCTCTCCTCGATGCCGTTACTCGCTCGTTATTACATCGCGGCGGTGGATATTCCGACCGAGCGTACAGCTAGGCGCTTTCACAACGGGTGATTGTTCTAAAGATGTGTCATTCCGTCCCGCTCGCGCCAACTTACTCCGGGCTTTCGAGCCTCGAGTTAAAAAGCCGCGAGAGAGCGAGAAAAAGACGCGCGGGACACGCGGCGTGTCGAGTAAAGCCGTGGGAGGCAGGTAAGGGGGAACGAGGGAAAGGCGGGGGGTGGGGGGGGAGAAGTGGAGATATCGAGGCGATCATCCGTCGACGAGAACCAGAAAGTCACGTCCACTGTAATCTTTGACGGCTGCTCTCTTCTCTTTAGGTCGTAACGCGTGAAGCTCCTACGTTATTGACACCTTCGTCCGGGGCTCCTATAGGTCATAGGTCGACAGAGGCTTACACGCAAAAGTTCCACTCGCACCTCGTAAATTTTCTCCTAAATCGTAGGAATCCGTATAACATTTCCTTTTTTAGCGTTATCAGTCTTTAGGTATTGATGCTTGCGCGTTATCGATACTCGGAATAAAATATAGATAAAATAGAGCAATATAACGCGTAGAGTCATCCTCATGGCAATGGGGTCATCCTCGAACGATACTATTGTCGCAGTCGAACGCGTGGAAGGAATATTTTGGTATCATCTGATAAGTATTCATTATCGGTCCTGGTGATATATATTTGTATAGTCACTTCGTGTATTTTTTCCTTTCCAAGAAAAAAATATATTTGTAAGAAACACTCTCATCTGTTTAGCGCTTAAAAATAATTTATTCATGACGAAAAAATATAACGATAATTAAGAAATAATAAAATGTAACAATTATAAATTATAATAAAATATAATATTATATAATAATTTTATTAAAAAAACGATTGCATATATTTTTGACAACAAAGTGCAAGGCTGGAAAATCCATGACTTAAATGAATAAAATAATCGTACAATTACAAGGGTACATTTAGCGGTAAATGTTGAAACGTAGTAAGAGAATAATAAACGGCGAATAGTGTCCGCGATCTTTTCGGCTTTTCGAAAACAAAAGCCGCAGTGTGCGCGCGCGCGTTTGTTTGCCGAGCCGCGATCCTCACGTACGGCACGTAGGCTTTTATCGATAAGCGAGTTACTTAAATGCCACTTCGTAATCTCCGACGTGCGATCTTAATTATTCGCTCGCCGAATAATATTCGATTTATTTCTATTTCGCTGACATAGGTGCAAATTTTATAATCGCATTGCGCGTGCATATAATTTAATTTCGATCGACTTATTTATTGCATATTTAATATGAACTTAAATTGACAACATTCTGAATTTCCGACAAGCAGACATCTCAAGCAAATTTTTTATTAATTATCATCGTCGACATTTAATTAAGAATTAAAATATTTAATCTATTTAAAAACGCGCAACATATGTAGTCACATGACTACATATAAAAGAGAAAAATGTATATATGTAATATATTTACTTCCAAATGCACACATATGTAAAACATATAAGAAATAATTATGCTTTTCAGCATAAATATAAAGTTATAAAAGTGCGATATAAATATAATTTTTCAGAGTTAATATAATTCATTGACACTTGTCATAAAGTATTTATATCGACTTATCAGTATCGTTAAGTTATTTGTAATCTTCATTTTCGTCTTTTCTATTGCGCACGCGCACGTTCGCAAATTTATCAGATATAATCGCGTGACTGAGAGATACAACCTCTCGTCGAAGGAAAAGGTTCCGTATCTCTTTCAACGATAATCTCTACGGCATTGTCACCGACGCCTGTTATCAGTTGCCGTGAAATAAAACGAGCCTGGACGAAGCTTGACACGCAAATAGGAATGGGTATTTAAAAAAAAGCGTCGGTATTTTTTCACTCGAGTATCTCATGATTCGTCGACGTGCGAATATACCTACAAAAATGTCGACATCAAACCGATATAAAAATAATTAGATTCATCGAACTTAATTCGGAGTAAAATTAAAACCAAATAAAATGACCATTTTTTAGAATTTATGAATATTATTTTCAAAAATATAGTAATAATATTATAAAAGAGAGAGTGGAAATTGCGAATAAATTTTGTACGATTTATTTTTAATAAAGATTTAAGTTAGCGAAAGCGAGAAGGTTTTTCCAAGTGAGAATTATGCCTCTTATCATCGGAATAATATAATTCGTGGTTATAAAGCCTCTAGTATGCTAGCTTTAGTATATCGCCAAGTATATCGGAGCAGGCATTCGAAACCGAGCGATAATCTCGGCAATATTAACCACGCAGTATTCTCTGTAGCTCGACTATCTAATCGTTTATGACTGACAGTCTTGCGTCGAGTCACCGTCAACGTATGGATAAATGCCCGCGATAATTTTATGAAATATTTACGGCACAATCTTCCACGATCTCGAACTTCAATATTTATGCTAGTTTACGATAGTGTTGTCGCTATAAACAGGGGGTAATTTTATCTCTTTATTCCGCATAATTTATCCGAATTTATCGACCCGATTATCTGATTATTTCGAGCACTTCAAGTCATAATCAATATCCAATCATCCGAGTATTCGATGCATTCTTTTTGTGTGAAATACAGATAATAGTATATATACGTTAATATTTTTTGTCAATATATTTATAATTCTTTTTGAAAAATTGTATATTTTTCGAAATAATTTATTGTTATTAATTAATTGTTAATTGCGTTAAAGGAGAGATTGCTTTGTAGATTTCGAAGATAATTTTTAAAACTGTAAAGATTAATGAACGCAACAAATTTCTCTCAAAATGTTAATTTGAAATGTTATTTTGAATCTATAGTTAAAAAATTAATGAATATATATAATTTTTTGTCACGAAATCTCGCAAAAAAAGAGAAAGGATATGATAAATCGATTTCCACAATTATGTGGCAATAATATATTATGTGACGAAATAAAGCTGCATTTGTCACACGACTATGATCTTGTATATTCGGCAATAGTTGATTGAAATTAACAAAATGAGACGGTATTCGATCGGAAAAAAATCAATCTTTGACTCATCGAACTTTGTCGAACTGTTCGTGCAGATCGCTATGGGGAAAAAGTTCGGAAACGTCTCGTGAGAATTGATCAAAGCGCGCATTTCGTAGGCTTATTTGCTCATTCGCGCGATAAGCGATCGGCAAAGGCATGACCGACAATCGTTCTCTTTGAAGGAAGCCAAAACTATGTCAGGATCCCTTGACATTTGTATATCGCTGCTTCGACGATAGGGTGACCTTGTCGTGGATCGCTTTTTCCTCGCTTTTATTATTCGCCTTATATTGGCGCGTAGGCGTTATGACGTTGCAATCGATTCGCAGTAAAATTTGATAACGCCGAGATATATAACTTGTTATCGAAATTAACAATTCACATTTTCTTTTCGTAAAAAGAGAATCAAACGCAGCGTCGTCCTTTGCCCCCTTTATTTCTGCTTAATTTTTAATTTTCAATAATTAAAATTACAAACTAATTAGAGTTAGAAACTAATTTAGCAGAAGGAAACGCGTAGGAAAATAAAAGCATTTACAAATATTTTATGGATAATCGCGCTACATCTTTTTAATGATGTCGGACAATAATGTCCCTTTCACACAAATAATATGTGTGGATGGACGATGTATAAAACATTTAATTTTATCATGTTTTTGTTTCCTTCTTATATTTTTGAGATACAATTTTTAATTCAGATTTTATTTTATTTTATTTTATTCATATATTATTTCATTTCATGTTTTAAAAAGCATATTGTCTCGCTTTATATTTTATATAACTCAACTATCTTAAAAGATGAAAAAAGGAACTCGAAAAATTCATATTTTATAAAATAAAATTAATATTTTTTATGAGAGAAAAGTTATAATTTAGAGATAGAACACACATTATTTTGTCTATACATTATTTTGTTTATAGCCTCACTCATAATAAAATAATTTTAAATTTTTTAAATTAATTATGATTAAATACATCTTTTTAACTTCATTAATGAAATATTAAAAATTTAATATGCGTAGTGACACGCCGCTCAATCT